GACAAAATTTTCATTTTGGGGTGGAGTATCCCTTTAAGACAGTCTTGAGAGGGACCATACATTCAGGTAATGCAAATTCTGGTTACCCATTTATTAGTGTGTGGAAAATAAAATGATTTCTCTTATAGATTTGGCATGCTGAGAAGATGTTGTATGATATCTTGCCATGGTGAGTGAGATTTGTTTGTCCCTCAATAAACCATGCCCTCCATAAATAAAGAGCCGCCAATTGTATCTATGATGGGAAACAATATAAATATATATTTTTTAATAAAAATGGCATCAAAGGCTTTGATCAGTCTATCTGATCAGAGCTCATGCACTAAGATTAAAGTGACTCTCAATTAGTAATAACCTTCTGAAGCACAATTATTATTCATGTAGGAGTACAGGATATTGCTTTGTGGCTTTTTGCATCTCTTCAATGAAATTCTCAGGGACAAAATAACCTATATTTCTGGCTTCCCAAACTCCATTTATCTTACCCGAGTGAACTGTGCCTTTATCCATCTTCCCTCTATATCCTGACTTTCACCACTTTTATACATTTCATAAAGAAGGACGCTGCCAGCACATTTATGTTATTTATAGATGTGTTTGTGTTACTGTAGATTTCAGCAAATGGTTTGAAAACATTCTGCTGTGGTCTGCAGACCAATCCCTTTTATTTACACAGCTTGTCACAAGAAGAGATAGCTGTATATTTCAGTTTAGTTTCACAGTCAGAAATATAATACACTATTGGACATTAGACATTAAATATAAAACATTTCATCACAAAATAAAGCTTTTTTTTTCTGGTTTATTGTCTATGAACATTCCATGTAAATTTATATAATTGTTGAATGCAATTCTTTTTATACACTGATTTGGATCATGTAAGTCATCTCCGTATGACTGGTTGTGATTTCAAAGCAAACATTTTCATTCTTAGCAATAATGTGCACTGATAAATCATGGAAAATAAGACCAAATAATGTAGAAAGTTAATAGGGCCACTGTTGACTCACAAAACATATTTAAAAATAATAGTAGCAAATGTTTTCATATGGAATTACTAAAGGATCTATGGTTTGCATTGACATTTTCCATATGTCATGTGCGCATGGTTCATGTCTGCAGTATATGCCCTAAGCCTTTAGTATGAATTAGCCTTCTGTCTTATTCCTCTTTCTGTAAGCCTGCAAGAAAATGTAAATTGTTCTCTGTATCTAATGTCAAATGTCATATTTTAGGTCATGCAGTTGCACAGCAAATACGCTTGCACAATAGAGCCCAAAATACAGGTAGCCTAATATTCATCTGCGAATTCACAAACGTTGCGCCACTTTATTCACGAAACACCCGAATTTCAAATAACACAAACATCATGTGGAAATGAACACTCTTAGCAGGCTCAATTAATTTTTATCTTATTTTCAGATATTTTATTATCAAATTTCACTATAAAGCTTTATACAGCAGTTATCCTTAAATCCGATCCTCGACTGATTGCTCGTGTGGAGTTCTGAGTGTCAGTACACTGGATTTTCAGACGGATTGTCTTTTTCAAATAACATCATACACCAGTAGGTGGTGGCAAGTGACTAGTCTTTTGAGTGAGTTGTTCATTAATTTAACCGATTCGTTCAAAGTGCTCATTCATTCTGCAATGAAATAAGTGTCACATTTCTGGCATGACAACTCTCGGAGAGTTTAGCATGCAGTAAACATGGCAATGTTAATGTGTTTGGTCTTGGCGGAAAAGATCTGCTATGCTGCTGCGACAGAGCAAGTACTGAGACTTGCTACTGCCAATTCATCCACAGACACGCTGCTGTGAGCATGTAAGAAATACTGCTGCTGCATATATAACATATATGAGATAACCCCCATATATAACAGACATGAAATCACCCTGTAGCAGATCTTCACAGGTGGAGCTGGGGTAGTGGAGGGTTTCTGAAGCGAGCTGCAACTGCTACAGCAAGCACTAGCCAAGTATTTGAATGCTGAGCAGCAAACTCATTGGCTGCAGATGCAACAAAACCAGTCGGCTGCACTGTATGAATAATGATGTCATTATACCAGATTGCGTTAGAACCTATTGGCTTGCGCCCTCTAGAGTTTCATGACATAACTTTTTATTTATGAATGTTTCATTGAATTATTCACTTAACCACTTCATTCAGTAACACATGTTCATTCAGTAATGGCGCAGCAGTTCTACTGCTGCTTTGTTTGGAACTATTTGCATTGTCGTAGAAGACAAGGTAGCCGCCAACACAAGTGGCTTAATATTAACTTCATGCTTATGAAACATTACAGTCATGCTTTTTCTTAAAAACCTGCAAAATTATGATACTGTACAGTACATGTGATCACTGTCGTTATTCAGAAATTATTACAGAACTCATGCTCATATAATATCCTGTTGCTTAAATTTATGGTTACTTTTGGATCTTTTCTAAAGCTTAGTTAAAGGTCCCATATTGTCAAAACTGAAATTTCCTGGCTTTTTTCACGATTACTGAGGTCTAGGGGCTATTTTTTTTAGTTTGACAGCCCCTATATAGGCCTTTCGATTGTGTGGAAAACAGCATCTTTTTATGCCAAAAAACTGGCGAAAGATTAGGGCGTGCCGAAAGGTAGGGGGCGTAGATAAAGGTCTTGCTAATTGATTAGGGTTAGGGTTAAGGTTAAGGTTAGGGGTTAGTTTCTGTTGTAGTATTCTTCTTTCGGCACGCCACCTTTTGCCACTCTTATTACTCAGACTTGCAGCTACCCCTGTCTCACTTAAGTGAGCATGCCAGCTATTTTTAAAGGAACAGTTCATTCAAAAATGAGTATTGTCATCATTTACTCTAACTTCTATGTTTTGAACGCTGTAAATATACATAAAATGCAAAATGAATGTGCATTTTAAAGCAATGACAACTTGATCATTTTGTTTAATCATCCAGAGCTGATGTTCTGCCGTCCTTGGAGGGGTAGGTGTCAACTATTCAAAGGTTGAATAATAGAAAAAAGCATGGTCCCTAAGATAGCACAGGCACGTCTGCCAGATGTCTGTTAAAGATCGCTTCATCTGGAAAGCATCTGCTGTGTACAAACATCTGATAGATGTCTTTAAGATGTCAGTTTTACATGCATTCTAAATCATAAACATCTTAAAGACATTTTCTAAATGTCTATTTGCCGTCTGATAGTAAACGTCCTATAGACGCATTGCAGATGAGCAAACACTCTAAAAAATATGTCTTGCAGATGTAAATGCAGACGTCAAATAGATGACTCCGTACGTGTGCTATCAGGGTAATTAAATAATACCGTAATTACATTGTATGTGCCTTTACATCATTAATGCCCAATTTCGCTGATATTTTAGTGTTATTTGCATTTAAAATCTAAAAAACATGTCTTGCAGATGTAAATGCAGACGTCAAATAGATGACTCCGTACGTGTGCTATCAGGGTAATTCAATAATACCGTAATTACATTGTATGTGCCTTTACATCATTAATGCCCAATTTCGCTGATATTTTAGTGTTATTTGCATTTAAAAATAATTTTTTATCCTTTTATTCTCAAAACAGCCACAAAAGCAACACGGGCCATTAAAAAACATGAAAAAAACAGAAAAATCTCACGGTCCCTAAGTTAAGCATTAATAAGAAGCTGCAGCGGAAGCGTCACGTTTTTTAAGGTGTAACGGATAGTGTCAATAAGAACCTGCGAATAAGAAGCTGTATTCAGCCTTGTTTCTCTTTACTTTAGCGCAAAATAAAAACTTGGATGAACATCAAAAACGCATCACAACAATATGTGACTATTTTACGTTTTGGCCAATCAGTGGCGAATTCGAACGATCTGATTCGTATGTTTTAGAACTAATTCATATTGAAACTGTGTAAAATACTTAGGCTACTTCCAAATACAGTGCAAATTACTGAAATGTATAACTTCTCGTGTAATCACACAGTGGGCTGCGGGAAGACTTCAATAAAACAGCTTGAACTGTAAACATGTCAACAATGGTTTGGAGTATAAACCTAATAATTATATCATTAGAATGCAGTCTATTCAGTGCATAAAACTCAAGATGTGTTCAAAACGACTCAAGCGATGAAGCAGGTCACATATGTTAAGAATATGCTTGCAGTGTAATATGATTTAAAGGGACAGTTCACACAAAAATGAAAATTACCCCATAATTTACTCACCCTCAAGCCATCCTAGGTGTATATGACTTTCTTCTTTCAAATTCAGTAAACATCTTATTGATTATGTATATTTTGTACAGGCAAGCAGATGAAGCCAGAATATAAACGCAGTGTGCAAAGTTTCACGTTAAATGGTTTCCCATAGAAAGATATTAGAAGGAAAACACTGAACCATTAAGCGGATTGCGTTCATATTCCGGCCTCATCTGCTTGCCTATGTAAACTATGCATAATAAATATAGAGAATATTACTGTTTCAAATATATTAAGGCACTTTGTGTTTTAACAACGTTTTGTCGCACTGTTTAAAATGTTTGCAAATGGCCAAAACTTGCAATTTGTTCACATACCTTTGTTTTATTATTTTAAGAGGTGATCTAAATATTTGCGGCTGTGAAACACATGGAAAATTGACAGGCTTGTCCTGCAGTTCTATGGATGTTTTGCCTTCCAGGTCTTTGAGGCGGTCACGTGACTCTGCTTCCATCCATCATATAAAGTGCTCCAACGGCTCCGGGGGTTAACAAAGGCCTCCTGAAGTGAATTGATGCGTTTTTGTAAGAAAAATATCTATATTTAAAACTTTATAAACTGTAATCTCGAGCTTCCACTAACTGTCGTACTCGCGTTCACGAGAGTGTCGTTCCAGTGGATGGCGTAGGATGCAGGCGTAGCGTAAGCGCCGGTGAGAATATGCTAGTCTCGCGAGAACCATGTTTTGTTTACAGCAAAGAAAACCAGTCTCCTCTTGGCTTATATTAAAATCCTCTAATTTTTTTCTTTACAAATCCTCGTTTTGTATTTCTAATTCTTGACCGGTGTTTTGTTTTGCTCTCTCCTCTGCGCTTCCACGTTCGTCACTTCTCACCGGAGCTTACGCTTCGCCTACATCCTACATCATCCGCTGGAACGTCACTCTCTAGTGAACGCGAGTACAGCAGTTAGCGGAAGCTAGAGATTAAGGTTTTAAATATGGATAATTTTCTTACACAAATGCATCAATTCTTTTCAGAAGGCCTTTATTAACCCCCCAGGAGCTGTGTGGAGCACTTTTTTTATGATGGATGGACGCAGTTTATTGGACTATTGAATATCACCCATTCACTGCCATTATAAAGCTAGGAAGAGCAAGGATATTTTTTAATATAACTCCGATTGTATTCGTCTGAAAGAAGAAAGTCATACACCCCTAGGATGGCTTGAGGGTGAGTAAGTCATGGGGTAACTATCCCTTTAACACAGCCGTGGCACCGTCATACATGAGAATTCAGTTATTGGCCAGCTGGCCTACTTACACAACATTTTAGTGACCTGCTGGTGACGGGCTTTCTGCTGCTGACTGCGTACATTAGAGGAGCTGTCTTGTCCCACACTGGCTTTTGCCTCCAGGACATGCAACATCTTCTCGCGTTTTAGCTGCATGCCGATGAGCAAATACAGCACGCTGATGGTCAACATGGGCAGGAGGAAAAACAGCAGAGTGGTGATTTGGATGATCAGGTTGTACATCCAGCGTGGCTTGACCAGCATGCAGGTGACAGAAGTGGACATGGCACCTACTCCTTTCCCTTTGGGAAGAGGGAGGATGAAAATGCCATGGAGGCTGGTGTTGGGAATGGCACACAATACAGACACGCTCCACACGCTCAAGATCACCCGCCTGGCGTGAGTGCGAGTCACTACGTATTTGACCCTGAGCGGATGGACCACAGCAATGTAGCGCTCCACGCTCAGTGCTGTTACATTCAAGATGGAGGCGAAACACACGGTCTCAAAGAGGAAGGTCTTGAAATAGCAGCCACCTTTGCCAAAAAGGAACGGATAGTTTCTCCACATTTCGTAGAGCTCCAAAGGCATTCCCAGAAGAAGCACCAGCAGGTCCGACACCGCCAGACTGAACAGGTAGAAGTTGGTGGGCGTCCTCATGACCTTGTTGCGAGCAATAACGATGCACGTAAGAATGTTCCCCACCGCTCCCACCATAAAGATGATCAGGTAGGTGATACACACAGGCAGAAACACCGGGGAACGTCTGGGCCCCAGATATTTCTCCAGATACTCGTCTTGGTTGAGGCAAAACTCTTCCATCTCCACCTCACTAAGGTTCGACACAATACTGGTATTGCACATCAGGTCTTGGACGCATCTTGATACAGACGTATTCGTTGAGGAACAGTTGGGTTTGGCAATCATTCTGGACCTAGTGATGGAAGATGAAAGACGATCATGGACAAATTGACACATTTGAAAGTGTTTCGAGACAGTGAGACAGAAGGAACTTGGGAGAATAAATAAGGGACTGTGGGAGATTTCTTATTAAAACTAAAATATTCTAATTTTATCTAATAAAAAATGGGAAGTTGATTTATTCACAGAGCCCATGGGGTAGACGGTAATGGTCACAGTTATTATTGCAAAACTTGACGCCATGAGGTGAATCTGATGAGGCTTTTGTATTTTCCAATGAACACCTCATGCAAATAGGCAAATAAGAACATTTTTTAAAGCAAGGCCTCAATTTACCCCATGTCCTTCTATAACAGATTGTAAGCCATTTTAATTTGTCCCAAATCATAATGAACTGAAAGTGCATCTTTTCCAACTAATATTGCTCAGAATTTAACGTATGGACTAGAAAGTTAAGTAATGATAGATAACTGTGATTATGTTAAACCTATAACAAGTTTTTCTTTTAAATGAAGTAAAACACTATTTTATTTACGATTCAGTACTGCTGTATTTAACTCTCTTTATTAACAAATTGATTTTCATAGGTTTCATTTTTTTACAACATGGATAAACAAAGCAAAAATGCTAACACTTAGGTCTCACTTATTAACATTAGTTAATGTATTAACTAACATTAACTAACAATGAGCAATACATTTTTACAGCATTTATTAACCTTAATGTGCTTAATAACAATGCTCATAATCATGTTAGTTTACAGTACATTAACTAATTATTAACATATAAAGCTTTTGATTTTAATAATGTATTACTGAATGTTGAACTTAACATTAACTAAGATTAATAAATACTATTTAAGTATTGTTCATGGTAACAAATATAGTTAACAAATCTAACAAATAAAACTTTATTGTACAGTGTCAAAAAGAAGCCTACTGTATGGCATCTTGTTTCAAAAATATGAAAGCCCTCAAATATAACCCATCTATTGGAAATTAGTAGCTACAGAATTTGAAGTAACAGGACAAAACTAACCAAAAGCAAAAATGTAAGGGGAAAAAATAATAATTATTATAATTAATAATTTAAAATAATTTATGCATTTAGCAGACGCTTTTATCCAAAGCAACTTACAGTGCATTCAGGCAATACATTTTTTACCAGTATGAAAAAAAAGGAAGCAAAGGAAGCTTTTGATTGATTATCCCTTGTGAAAAAGAAGTACACTTTAGCATACTTTTAAAACGCATTTACTTTAACTTTTAAATGTAATATCAAATAACATAGAACAGTGAAAATTATAATCAAGTACTTTTGACATGCTTTAGTGTGGTAGTCAACATCCAGTCAAACAGTCAAAATAGGTGTACTTCTTTAAAGCATGACAGAAGACTATTAAAACACAATGATTTAAAATGTACTTTAAAGTAAAGCTTTTAATTTGACATTTGTATTAATGTCATTTAAAAGTGTATTTAAGTGTGTTAAGAAATAGTCATGAAAGAGTCTCTCTAAGTTTATTTCAGTGGACATTTATTTCATTAACATTATGTTATCTGCAAATACAGTTTTACAAAATATATACGATTTTAAATACACTACAAGTGCACATTCAGTATAATTAAGATTCAGTATAATTAAGCACACTTCTTTTTCTCAAGGGTATATAAACATTGTAAGAACTACAGCATGTGTTCCACAGAGATTCACACAATGCTGTTTTGTTTTTCCCCAAGCGCTTGCATGAATCAAGAGGAAATGATGTATGCTTTGTGTTTTTTAGCATAATCATATGAGAGATCAACAAGTGTGTCAGATAAACTAAATAAAAATTTGTTGTCAAAATTAACATTGGTTCACACAGGGAACAGGGAAAAATACACAAGTAGAAATTTAAATTGTTCAAGCGCCACAATTAGGGGTTATTCACAAGTGTTTTTGTAATTAAAAGTGAGATGCAGGGCATTGCATTTTTTTTTTTTTTTAAAGTTTGAACTACTTTTAACTTAGTTTTTAAAAATACAATACGTTGCAAAAGAGACGTGAGCGCAAACACGCTTATCTAGCCTAGCGGATATTTACATAGAAAAGTAGCACACTGGAATACAAAAACGCATTCTTTGTGAATGGCCCCTAACTGAGACAATTACAATGTTCTCTGTCCTCTCACTTGGAGATAATGCAAATGTGTGAGAATCTAAAAGTGACCCTAATAGCCTCTATTACTCATTATAGAGTATTCAAAGCTAAAACATTGGCTATAATGGAAGGAAACTGAAATCTCCTGAACTATCATTATGTTTCACGATCTGCACTGCATATTCATATAATAGTTCTCTGCTTTTCTTGGAGGTTTCAACAAGATTTGAGGCAGAGTTGACCTGCCCTCCACCCATGTCTCTGAAACGGGTCCATTGAAATGACAGGATGTTGAGTGCTGCCATCCTCCTCTGGTGACAAAGACATGATATTCATAGTTTCTGACAGAGCACTAAAATAACTGTTTTTACAACTCAAAACTCAAACTGCATTAAAGATTTAAAGCATCAACACTCTTAAAAATAAAGGTTCTTCATTGGTTCCTCGATGGTTCCTTGAAGAACCTTTAACATCAATGGAATCTTTCCATTGCACAAAAGGTTCTATAGTTAAAAAAAACTTCTTTCGATTATTACAACCTTCTTGACTGAGAAAAAATGGTTATTTTAAACTGTTCACGGAAAGGTCCTTTGGTGGAACCCAAAACGGTTCTTCAAATGGCATTGCTGGGAAAACCTCCATTTTGGAACATTTATTTTTAATAGTTAAGGACTGAAGACTAAATAAATGTATTATTTATTTATTTTTTTGTGAATGTGCTTCTTGGCAGCAGAACTGAGACTCCATGAGCCGTCATGAGCAAAGATAGCAGTTTCATATCATGTTGCATCATTTCTGGATGGTCTCTGAAGTAATTTCTCATGCTCACAGCCTAGTGTGACCAAACCGAAAGTGTAGAAAAATATTAGTCATCTGAGTAACTGGATAATTAGAAATAGATATGCATGTTGTTATGGATACCAATGACTTTTAGAGGTGTACGTGAGCAATGCAGGGTGTGGATGTGACATCTTCACGTGCATGAATGCATGAATAATGTTCAAAGCGGCTTCCCTATAGACCCGTAAATTGCATTTCTAACTGACACTGTGACCAGTGTTAACTTTTGTCCCTCTAATTTTTGTTCTTGCTATGCAGACTTAAAAAGCAACCTGAGCGGAAACACCTTGTGTACTGACCTGTGTTCACTGTACATAAAAATTCTATAAAGGCTTAAAACTATAATAAAGAAATTAATTTCTACATTATTTCTTACATTTTGCTAGTCCCCCTTTTTGATGATTTTATGTCTGGTTGCAAACAAAACGGAACACCCTCTGTCATTATTTGTTATTAATGTTTTAATTAAACTCCATTGTCTTGTGCAATTAAATTCATTCTGAAGTGACACTCCGTGGAAGTGGCAAATCAGAGAGATGTGACCTCCAAAATCAAATACTGATGAGATACAGTTTGTGGCTGGAGATATTTAATGCATACAATTATTCTATTATTAATTGTCCAAGGCACCATTACAAAAGACCGGCAAGCAGATCAGACTAGCAATATAATGCACAAGTTGAATAGACCACTTTTTTTATTATTTTGTGGAGGTAAAACAGCTATATACAGATATGTTGCTGGAAACACTCTTTGTTTAAAAAAAAAATTATAATAAAAAATTAATCTAGGAGAAATTGTCACCACAATTGTCACCTGTCTCCATCCTGCTGTATTCATTGTTTCATTTTGTTTTTCAAAGAGCAATTTCATCTGTTTTTTCTAATCTTAACACTGCATACTTTTTTACTCATCTTGTTCACTGTCATTTCAGTGGAACTGTGATTTCTAAAGGCACTCACAATGAAGCTGTAAGAGGTGTCGCTCTTTCATTTGACTAACTGCTCCTCCATGTCAACTGGAAAGTCTTTTCCTGGGCAACTGAAGGGATCTCTGACCCAAGCAAATGAACTGAAATCCTCAATGAAATAACAGCCGAATTGTTGTTTCAGTCCCTCAAAATGTTGAGTGATTATATCAATCAAAAGAGATATTTATCCCTGTCTCTTGCACACAGTCGGTGAAGTTGGGATACATGTCCTCATTTTTATTAATCAGCTGATCACACCAAAGATCCAATTTGCCAACGAATGGACTGACTTTGTCTGAAAGAAGCAAGATGTTGGCATCTCTCCCTTGCATCGATGTGTTCAGCAAATTCAACCAGTCAAAAATGTCTACGAGGTGCTAACCACAGGGGGTCGTCCAGGTCCAGGTCCAAGGTCGGAATTAATATCAACAAGAAACATATTCACCTCTGACAAAGAATTCTCTGACGAAGTATTCAAGTATCCTCTGACAAAGTATTCATGTATTCTGCTCATGTTCAGCTCCCATTTCCTGACAAAGCAAGGAAAACAAGGGTGTATTTAATCACCGTGCTTTAATGAAATTGACAATTTGCAATGCCTGCATTAAAACAGTCTCAAGAGACTCAGGCATTTGCTTTGATGCGAGAGATTCGCGACGAGTCATACAGTGGGTCCACTTGGCTAAATTCTGGACACGAGTAACCAGACTCCTAGTCATTGAATGGGCCCCATCCATGCATATCCCAACACATTTATCCCGTGACATGCCTGCATCCCGTATATACCCATCCAGAACTTCAAACAATACCTCGCCAGTTGTGTGCTCTGGAAGAGACCGACAGAAAAGAATATTCTCCACAACATAACCATTTTTGACATATCTGACATTGTAAAAGATGATGCACTGTTAACTTTGTAAAATACGTTCATCTTATTTGTTTCTGCTCTGTTGACATTACTCATTATGACTGAGTTTTTATTACTTTCCGTTATGCACCTGTTGCTTAAAGCATTGCAGTTAAGTAACCTGAACTTAATTATTTGTGCTCAGCG